TTTCTTGTACATTGTCTTTGAAGTCAGGAACAAATATGCAAATACACAGAATGTGCCCTTAATATGCCTCTGACTATGACTGACACAAAAACTCTTGAGCTGCTGAATGAGCATGACTGCATGGTTGTTTGGGTACAATTACATACGTACTAGAAGAATGTGAATTAAAACTTCCCCGGGACGAAATATAGATTTTGACAAACCTTAGTAAAACTAGTTTCAAATTAAAATTCTGAAAAAACATCTCGAGATGTTTTGAAAAAATCTTTTTCAAAACATCTACAGATTTCACATTATATACATGCTACATGTAGAAATAGCATTCGGGTATGTGTTTGATACTTAATTCGGGGCATTTTAGAAAGGAACAAAGGGCTTTCGGAACATAAAGATTTCGGACCATAGGGCTTTCGGAACATAACGCGAGCTTAAAACGTACCGGCCGCGGGTTCCGTATCTCGTCTAAAACTGCACATATTTCTTTACGATTCGGCTGATATGTTCATTGAAGCTTACAAAGTTACTGTATGAGTTCCCGTGCTGATGTCGTATTAAATTAGTCATTGAGTTATTTTCAATCAAAATTTGCTTCATTCAAACATCTGTCACAACCTTTAAAATATACCTTTACTTTCCTTCAAAACGATTCGGTATTACCATTTTAAAAGGAAGTGGTGATACCACTGAAAGGTATCAGACCTATGTAGAGGATTATGTCTATTTCATAATGTAAATCACTAACTCTACCTTATTATTGCAATACCGCACATTTCAGTGGGGTTTAGGACATGCCCAAAAAATGAAGCCAAATAACTGACCTGTATCTACCAAAAGGAATGGAAGAAGAGTAGATTTGTTAACAACACACAACGATCAGTATTTCAGGATACTAATGTCGAAGTTTTATCCTAAAATATCATTTCATTCTCGATTTAGAAAGTAAAACTCAATTTTGGGCGATGCGGTCAAAATCGAGCTAGAATTGTCTTTGCGAAACATAGCGGTTTGAAGACGGTTTCGCATCGCGGGAGCTTGAAACGTGCTGGTTTCCGTATCTCGCTTAAACCTACACGGATTTCTTTCAAATTTGGCTGGTATATTCATAAAAGCTTATAAAGTTACGGTATGAATTTTCATGCTGATGTCATGATTAGTCATTGAGTTATTTTCAATTGAAATTTCTTCATGAAAGCATAGATCTCTCACAACTTTTCAAAATATAAGTTGACTTTTCTACAAAACGATTGGGTGCAACCGATAAAAAAGGAAGTGGTGGTACCACTGAAAGGTACTCAACAGACGTGTATAAAAGATTATGTCCATTTTACAGTGTAAATCCCTAAATCAACCTTATCATTGCAATACCGCGTATTCCAATGGGGGTTTTGGGCATGGCCGAAAAATGGGGCCAAATGAATTGCTTGTAGCTTTACGAAAATTCATCAAAGAGCAAATCTGTTAACAGCAGAGATAGACCAGTATTTCAGGATACTAATAGCTAAGTTTCAGCTCAAAATATTATTTCATTCTCGGTCTAGAAAGGAAAACGCAATTTTGCGTGATGCAGTCAAAATTGACCTAGAATTGTCTATGCCAGACATAGCGGTTTAAAGGCAACCTCGCTTCGCGCGAGCTGAAATCATGTCGGTCTCCGTATCTCATCTAAAACTACATGGAGTTCTTTCAAATTTGGCTGGTATGCTCATTGAAGCTTACAAAGTTACGGTATGAATACCCATGTTGATGTCATAATCAGTCATCGAGTTATTTTCAATTGAAATTTCTTCATAAAAGCATACATCTCTCACAACGCACGTTTCAAAATATAAGTTGACATTCCTCCGAAACGACGAGGTGCAACCAATGAAAAAGGAAGTGATGATACCACTGAAAGGTTCTCAACAGACGTATATAAAAGGTTATGTCCATTTCATAATGTAAATCCCTAAATCTGCCTTATCATTGCAATACCGCACATTTCAGTGAGATTTTAGGGCATGACCGAAAAATGGGGCCAAATGAATTGCTTGTAGCTTTGCGAGAATTCACCAAAGAGCAAATCTGTTAACCTCAGAAATAGACCAGTATTTTAGGATACTAATGTCCAAGTTTCATTTCAAAATATCATTTCATTCTCGGTCTAGGAAGGAAAACGCAGTTTTGCGTGGTGCGGTCAAAATCGACCTAGAATTGTCTAATAAATAGTAGGCGAAACATAGCGGTTTGAAGGCAACCTCGCTTCGCGCGAGCTGAAATCGTGTCGGTTTCCGTATCTCGTCTAAAACTACATGGATTTCTTTCAAATTTGGCTGGTATGTTCATTGAAGCTTACAAAGTTACGGTATAAATTCCCATGCTGATGTCATAATCAGTCATCGAGTTATTTTCAATTGAAATTTCTTCCTGAAAGCATACATCTCGCACAACGTTTCAAAATATAAGTTGACATTCCTCCGAAACGAGGAGGTGCAACCAATGAAAAAGGAAGTGGTGATACCACTGAAAGGTCCTGAACAGACGTATATAAAAGATTATGTCTATTTCATAATGTAAATCCCTAAATCTACCTTATTATTGCAATACCGCACATTTCAGTGGGATTTTGGGGCATGGCCGAAAAATGAAGCCAACTGAATTGCTTGTAGCTTTACGAAAATTCACAAAAGAGTAAATCCGTTTACAGCAGAGATAGATAAGTATTTCAGGATACTAATGTCCAAGTTTCATTTCAAAATATCATTTCATTCTCGGTCTATGAAGGTAAACGCAATTTTGCGTGATGCGGTCAAAATCGACCTAGAATTGTCTATGCGAAACAGAACGGTTTGAAGGCGACCTCGCTTCGCGCGAGCTGAAATCGTGTCGGTTTCCATATCTCGTCTAAAACTCGATGGATTTCTTTCAAAATCGGCTGGTATGTTCATTGAAGCTTACAAAGTTACTGTATGAATTCCCATGCTGATGTTATAATTAGTCATTGAGTTATTTTCAATTGAAATTTCTTCACGAAAGCACACATCTCTCCAAGGACATTCTTTGCTCTCTCACAACTTTTCAAAATATAAGTTGACATTCCTCCAAAAAGACTAGGTGCAGGCCATGAAAAAGGAAGTGGTGATACCACTGAAAGGTCCTAACCAGACCTATGTAGAATGTATATAGTAGAGGGGATTCATTCCTCAAGCTACCGACATCTTGCACACACAGTCGTCCCTCAGTAAAGACATCTGGAGCCGCATAGTTCCCGTTTAGAACTTTTATTCAGCCTGCCTACACAGACCTATGTAGAATATTATGTCTATTTCATAATGTAGATCCCTAACGCTACCTTATTATTGAAATACCGCACATTTCAGTTGGGTATTGGGACACGACCAAAAAATGAAGCCAAATGACTGACCTGTATCTACCAAAAGGAATGGAAAAAGAGCAGATCTGCTAACAACGCAGATATATCGGTATTTCAGGATACTAATGTCGAAGTTTCATCCCAAAATATTATTTCCTTCTCGGTCTAGAAAGGAAAATGCAATTTCATATGATGCGGCAATGATCGATCTAGATTTTTCTATGCGCAACATAGCCTTTGAAAGCGCGAGCTGAAAACTTAAAAGTAAAACTAAAAGTAAAACTGAACGGATTGGTTTCAAATTCGGCTGGTATGTTCATGGGAGCTTAGAAAGTGGCTGTATGAATTCCGTCTGATGCCGTAATTGGCCATTGAGTTATATTCTGTTGAAATTTGAGTCATTAAAGCAGAGTTCTCCAAATAATTGAAAACAAAGGTTTACGTTCCTCAAGAAAGATTTGAGTGCAGCCTTTGAAAAGGGTTTAAGGCTGTCCTTTTCAATAATGCGAATTCCTAATCCCTATAATACCTTTGATTCTACTGTCCTTTACACCATTTACACAGTAATAACTTCTATCAATTGCTTGCTTCTTGGTGACATTAGTGCGTTCAAGTATTATGTTGGGATACATGACTTTAATGCTGTACACTTGCTATTCTTGAATCATATACTGACTTGAACTACACTGGAAATGAAAGTCTATGGAAACAAGAGTGAAAACGTGTATTTCAACTTTAATAATAATTGAATGGTGTTGAAAATAATATACATGTATCAGAAAATAAACTGGTAATATCTACAAGTACTATAGGTAATGAATCTAGTTACTATATGTTATGCTTGAAACAGTTTTAGAAAATATTCTCAAACATGCAACTCGGAAAAATAGAAAACAAATAAATAAG